TTTGGTGTGATGTAAGTAGTTTTGATGTGAGTTAAGTGATTTTGGTGTGATGTAAGTGGTTTTGGTGTGATGTAAGTGGTTTTGGTGTGATGTAAGTGATTTTGGTGTGATGAAAGTGGTTTTGGTGATTTGTGATGTTAGTGGTTTTTGTGTGATGTAAGTGGTTTTGGTGTGATGTAAGTGTTCTTGGTGTGATATAAGTTGTTTTGGTGTGATGTAAGTGGTCTTTTGTGATGTAAGTTGTTTTGGTGTCATGTAAATAGTTTTGGTGTTGTGTGATGTAAGTGGTCTTGGTGTGATGTAAGTGGTTTTGGTGTTTTGTGATGTAACTGGTTTTGGTGATGTGTGATGTAAGTGGTTTTGGTGTTGTGTGATGTATGTGGTTTTGGTGTGATGTAAGTGGTTTTGGTGTGATGTAAGTGGTTTTGGTGTGATGTAAGTGGTTTTGGTGTGATGTAAGTGGTTTTGGTGTTGTGTGATTTAACTGGTGTTGGTATGATGTAAGTGGTTTTGGTGATGTGTGATGTAAGTTGTTTTGGTGTGATGTAAGTAGTTTTGGTGTGATGTAAGTGGTTTTGGTGATGTGTGATGTAAGTGGTTTTGGTGATGTGTGATGTAAGTGGTTTTGATGATGAGTGATGTAAGTGGTTTTGGTGTGATGTAAGTGGTTTTGATGTGATGTAAATAGTTTTGGTGATGTGTGATGTAAGTGGTTTTGGTGTGATGTAAGTGATTTTGATGTGATGTAACAGGTTGTGGTGTGATGTAAGTTGTTTTGGTGTGATGTGAGTGGTTTTGGTGTGATGTAAGAGGTTTTGGTGTGATGTAAGTGGTTTTGGTGTGATGTAAGTGATTTTGGTGTGATGTGTGATGTAAGTGGTTTTGGTGATGTGTGATGTAAGTGGTTTTGGTGTTGTGTGATGTAAGTGGTCTTGGTGTGATGTAATTTGTTTTGTGTGATGTGAGTGGTTTTTGTGTGATATAAGAGGTTTTGGTGTGATGTAAGTAATTTTGTTGTGATGTAAGTAGTCTTGGTGTGATATGAGTTGTTTTGGTGTGATGTGAGTGGTTTGGTGTGACCTAAGAGGTCTTGGTGTGATGTAAGTGATTTTGGTGTGATGTAAGTGGTTTTAGTGATGTTTGCTGTAAGTGGTTTTGGTGATGTGTGATGTAATTGGTTTTGGTGTAATTAAAGTGGTTTTGGTGATGTGTGATGTAATTGGTTTTGGTGTAATGAAAGTGGTTTTGGTGATGTGTGATGTAAGTGGTTTTGGTGTGATATAAGTTGCTTTGGTGTGATGTAAGTGGTTTTGGTGATATGTGCTGTAAGTGGTCTTGGTGTGATGTGAGTGTTTTTTGTGTGATGTAAGTGTTCTTGGTGATGTGTGATGTAAGTGGTCTCGGTGTGATGTAATTTGTTTTGTGTGATGTGAGTGGTTTTTGTTTGATGTAAGAGGTTTTAGTGTGATGTAAGTAGTTTTGTTGTGATGTAAGTTGTCTTGGTGTGATGTAAGTTGTTTTGGTGTGATGTGAGTAGTTTTGGTGTGATGTAAGTGGTTTTTTGTGTGATGTAACTGGTGTTGGTATGATGTAAGTGGTTTTGGTGACGTGTGATGTAAGTGGTTTTGGTGTTGTGTGATTTAACTGGTGTTGGTATGATGTAAGTGGTTTTGGTGATGTGTGATGTAAGTTGTTTTGGTGTGATGTAAGTAGTTGTGGTGTGATGTAAGTGGTTTTGGTGTGATGTAAGTGGTTTTAGTGATGTGTGCTGTAAGTGGTTTTGGTGATGTGTGATGTAAGTGGTTTTGATGATGAGTGATGTAAGTGGTTTTGGTGTGATGTAAGTGGTTTTGATGTGATGTAAATAGTTTTGGTGATGTGTGATGTAAGTGGTTTTGGTGTGATGTAAGTGATTTTGATGTGATGTAACAGGTTGTGATGTGTGATGTAAGTGGTTTTGGTGTTGTGTGATGTAAGTGGTTTTGGTGTGATGTAAGTGGTTTTGGTGATGTGTGATGTAAGTGGTTTTGGTGTGATGTAGGTGGTTTTGGTGATGTGTGATGTAAGTGGTTTTGGTAATGTGTGATTAAGTGGTTTTGGTGATGTGTGATGTAAGTGGCTTTGGTGTGACGTAAGTAGTTTTGGTGTGATGTAAGTGGTCTTGGTGTGATGTAAGTGGTTTTGGTGTGATGTAAATAGTTTTGGTGATGTGTGATGTAAGTGGTTTTGGTGTGATGTAAGTGATTTTGATGTGATGTAAGTGGTTTTGGTGATGTGTGATGTAAGTGGTTTTGTGTGATGTGTGATGCAAGTGGTTTTGTGTGATGTGTGATGCAAGTGGTTTTGGTGATGTGAGATGTAAGTTGTTTTGGTGTGATGTGAGTGGTTTTGTTGTGATGTAAGAAGTTTTGGTGTGATGTAAGTGGTTTTGGTGTGATGTGCGTGGTTTTTGTGTGCTGTAAGAGGTCTTGGTGTGATGTAAGTGATTTTGGTGATGTGCGCTGTAAGTGGTTTTGGTGTGATGAAAGTGGTTTTGGTGATGTGTGATGTAAGTGGTTTTATGTTAGTGGTTGTAAGTGGTTTTTGTGTGATGTAAGTGGTTTTGGTGATGTGTGATGTAAGTGGTTTTTGTGTGATGTAAGTGGTCTTGGTGTGATGTTAGTAGTTTTTGTTTGATTTAAGAGGTTTTGGTGTGATGTAAGTGGTTTTGGTGTGATGTGAGTGGGTTTTGTGTGATGTAAGAGGTCTTGGTGTGATGTAAGTAGTTTTTGTGTGATGTTAGAGGTTTGGGTGTGATGTAAGTGGTTTTGGTGATGTGTGATGTAAGTGGTTTTGGTATGATGTAAGTTGTTTTGGTGTGATGTAAGTGGTTTTGGTGATGTGTGCTGTAAGTGGTCTCGGTGTGATGTGAGTGGATTTTGTGTGATGTAAAAGGTCTTGGTGTGATGTAAGTGGTCTTGGTGTGATGTAAGTGGTTTTTGGTGATGTGTGATGTAAGTTGTTTTTGTGTGATGTGAGTGGTTTTTGTGTGATGTAAGAGATTTTGGTGTGATGTAAGTAATTTTGTTGTGATGTAAGTGGTCTTGGTGTGATGTAAGTTGTTTTGGTGTGATGTGAGTGGTTTTGGTGTGATGTAAGAGGTTTTGGTGAGATGTAAGTGGTTTTGGTGTGATGTGAGTGGTTTTTGTGTGATGTAAGAGGTCTTGGTGTGATGTAAGTAGTTTTGGTGTGATGTAAGAGGTCTTGGTGTGATGTAAGTGGTTTTGGTGATGTGTGCTGTAAGTGGTCTTGGTGTGATGTGAGTGGATTTTGTGTGATGTAAAAGGTCTTGGTGTGATGTAAGTAGTTTTGGTGTGATGTAAATAGTTTTGGTGATGTGTGATGTAAGTGGTTTTGGTGTGATGTAAGTGGTTTTGGTGTGATGTAAGTGGTTTTGGTGATGTGTGATGTAAGTGGTTTTGGTGTGATGCAGGTGGTTTTGGTGATGTGTGATGTAAGTTGTTTTGGTGTGATGTAAGTGGTTTTGGTGTGATGTAAGTGGTTTTGGTGTGATGTAAGTAGTTTTGGTGTGATGTAAGTGGTTTTGGTGATGTGTGCTGTGAGTGGTCTTGGTGTGATGTAAATGGTTTTGGTGTGATGTAAGCGGTCTTGGTGTGATGTAAGTGGTTTTGGTGTTGTGTGATGTAACTGGTTTTGGTGTTGTGTGATGTAAGAGGTTTTGGTGTGATGTAAGTGGTTTTGGTGTGATGTAAGTGGTTTTGGTGATGTGTGATATAAGTGGTTTTGGTGTGATGTAAGTGGTTTTGGTGATGTGTGATGTAAGTGGTTGGTTGTGAGTGGATTTTGTGTAAAATGTGTGATGTAAGTGGTTTTGGTGTGATGTAAGTTGTTTTGGTGTGATGTGAGTGGTTTTTGTGTGATGTAAGAGGTTTTGGTGTGATGTAAGAGGTTTTGGTGTGATGTAAGTGGTTTTGGTGTGATGTAAGTTGTTTTGGTGTGATGTGAGTGGTTTTTGTGTGATGTAAGAGGTTTTGGTGTGATGTAAGTGGTTTTGGTGTGATGTAAATAGTTTTGGTGATGTGTGATGTAAGTGGTTTTGGTGTGATGTAAGTGATTTTGGTGTGAGTTAAGTGATTTTGGTGTGATGTAAGTGGTTTTGGTGATGTGTGCTGTAAGTGGTTTTGGTGTGATGTGAGTGGATTTTGTGTGATGTAAAAGGTCTTGGTGTGATGTAAGTAGTTTTGGTGTGATGTAAGTGGTCTTGGTGTGATGTAAGTGGTTTTTGGTGATGTTTGATGTAAGTGGTTTTGGTGTTGTGTGATGTAACTGGTTTTGGTGATGTGTGATGTAAGTGGTCTTGGTGTGATGTAAGTTGTTTTGGTGTGATGTGAGTGGTTTTTGTGTGATGTAAGAGGTTTTTATGTGATGTAAGTAATTTTGTTGTGATGTAAGTGGTCTTGGTGTGATGTAAGTTGTTTTGGTGTGATGTGAGTGGTTTTGGTGTGATGTAGGAGGTTTTGGTGTGATGTAAGTTGTTTTGGTGTGATGTGAGTGGTTTTTGTGTGATGTAAGAGATCTTGGTGTGATGTAAGTGGTTTTGGTGATGTGTGCTGTAAGTGGTCTTGGTGTGATGTAAGTGGTTTTGGTATGATGTGAGTGGTTTTTGTGTGATGTAAGAGGTCTTGGTGTGATGTAAGTAGTTTTTGCGTGATTTAAGTGGTCTTGGTGTGATGTAAGTAGTTTTGGTGTGATGTGAGTGGTTTTTGTGTGATGTAATAGGTTTTGGTGTGATGTAAGTAGTTTTGTTGTGATGTAAGTGGTTGTGGTGTGATGTAAGTGGTTTTGGTGATGTGTGCTGTAAGTGGTTTTGGTGTGATGTAAGTAGTGTTGTTGTGATGTAAGTGGTTGTGGTGTGATGTAAGTGGTTTTGGTGATATGTGATGTAACTGGTTTTGGTGATGTCAGGAACTTTAAGATGATATTGTTTACTGTGTTTTGAGAATTTCAGTACATGCTATATTTTGTCTGTCATTATAGCTTGTCTCATGACTTTGTCCACCTACGGAGGTCCATTGTTCTGGCTGGTCAGTCTGGTTAAATGTCTGACGACCTCAGTGGAGAGCCACACTATACATTCCAGGTAACTAGTGAACACACAGGACAGTAAGAGGGAGGGGAGGGGGGAGAGACATTTAATTATTTGATTGGATGTGGAGAATGAATGGAGGTTAATTTTTGGGAGTAAAATGTCAACAAAACACAGCAATGTTATTGGAAGGATGGGAATATCATAAGATGACCCAGGAATATATTGCTTTTGTTAGATATAGGTGATGCTAGAGGAAGAAGACCAGAGGGTGGGGAATCCCTGATCATTTTGTCCCTGTGGATGTCTAAAACATGAGATTTGATATGTTATTGTATGATTTTGTCCATGCTTACATACTCTAGTTCATCTGTCCTACTGTCTTTTGTAATTTTTTTATCTGGAGACTTTTGTTTATAAGAGTTACTGCTTCTTGGTTTTTTCACTATGTAACCTCTGTCAGGTTTTAACCAATTTCTTCCCTACATAGTAGGCTTAATCACCCATTTTATGATGTTGTATTTTCCTGAACAGCAGTTTGATTCGACTGTGTTTGAAAGACTTTCTGCCCCTTGTTGTTTTTATGATGTTGATCTTGTTTTTAGATCAACTCTGTCACTTTTAAACCATTCTCTTACAAACCTATAACTTTATAACTATGGAATGCAATTGTGTTTTCTTTACCGACAGTTATTTTCAATACTTTACTGAGGATTTTTCACCTTTCAAGTTTTTTTTGGCAATTTGATAATGCATAGGAATCTCCACCTTCACTTTTAACCTGTTCTTTATTCTTTCAGATCTGATATTTCACCTTGTCTATAGACTCTCTCAGTGTTTCTTGGTAGGTTAAAAACCAAAACACAGGGATTTGTTTCCATGAACAGCATTGTGATTCAACAATATCCCAAAGAGTTGGTGCCCATTGTTTGTTTTCAGCTTTTCAATATGCTCACTTCTTAACAACTTGGTATGCTTTGATTTGTCACCACATTGTTTTCTCTCATAGTATTTTGACTCCATATTATTAACGTTTCTATATTTGTATTCATTTTAGCAGGAGAAGTTTATGGCTATACACTACTCTTGTTACTTTGTTAAAAAACCTGTTTTTCAGTGTTGACATCTTTTGATAACTCAGTATTGATGACATGGTTCAGTGAATCTTTGATGATAATTTCAGGTTGAAGACAACAGTCGAAGGGATGTGTAGAACTCTGTGCTGGACTCGCGCTCTGCCCTTAGCTGTATACTCAACACTTGTGACACTACAGCGACACCATCTGTTTGTGTGGACAGTATTCTCACCAAAACTCTTGTATGAGGGAGTCCTCACACTCTTAATAGCTGTACTTTCTATAGTGTGTTTATGTTTAGTAAAATTTGAAAGTTAAAACCTGACAAGGACATCTTTGTTGTTTTTGTTGATTGGCTTGAATTCCACAGTCTGAAGAAAAGTTCATAGTTCAATATATATATATATAGCATGGTACCAAGTTCAAGGATCAATGGGTTCTTCTTCATTAGTCTAGGATTAAGGTGCTGGTTATGATATAAAATTAAAAGAAATATTGCAAGTATGATAATGAAATTATTAACATTGCAATAGGTGTTTGTGTCGTGAAATGTTTTATTAGTTATTGCTACCCTTTAATTGTAAACAACAAAAAAACAAGAAAAAAAGTAAATAAACAATTGGTTTGAATAATAAACAGAAAAACAAAAGTAATTGGGAAATAAGACATTAATCTGCTTCCAAGCGCAACACCATTTGAATGCCTAGGTAAAGTTAAACCAAATTTGGTCTATAACATCTTTGAGAGTGGAGAATAATTTCTTAAATTTAGGAAGTTAATTTGACCCCAAAGGACCTGGAGGTGGGTGGGGCCACAATTGAAAAGTAAGTCAATATTTTGCTTCAAAATGCTACTCTTTCTTAATGCTTGGATGGATTTCAATCAACTTTGGTCTGAAACATCATTTTAAGTGGGGAATCATTTCTTAAATTCAGAAAGTTGATTTAACCTGCAGGAACCTGGGGGCAGGCAGAGCCTCAATTGGAAAGGTAGTCAATATTTTGCTTCAAATTATTGTATCTTTCAATGCTTACATAGATTTAAACAGAATTTTGTCTGAAAGGTCATTGAGAGTGGAGAATTATTTCTTAAATTCAGGAAATTGATTTGACCCTGAGGGACTTGGGGGTGGATGGGGCTTTCATATGTATGTATTTATATAGCCAGATGACGGTTAAGGACCATGGGCCTCTTGTTTTACTTATTCACTTTTTTCACCAATTATTTTTCTAATCACCCTGATTCAATCATATAAACAAAAAAATAAGAAAAAATATGTCTGGGGTAGGGAAATTTAGAGTGAGGGCACTTGAGAGCATATTTCGACATAATCTGATCACCCCTACAGGAGAAGTGGGATTTTCAAGGAGTTGCTCTATTTCCCCTACGGGGGCATGCCCCTCCTGACCCATGGAGCCAAAACCAATTGTTAATACAAATATAGTTTTCTTTCACCTAAGAACACTCCATAACAATTTGGGCAAACTCATTCCTACAAAACTTATGATATGTGTTATGATTTAAATGTTGACAACCTTGACCAGAACATTGATAACGTTAATTCACCATAGGAGTCAAAACAATATCCAACAAACTTCATGCCAGAAATTAACATAACAGCTCACAAGGCATCCAATTTTTAAATAAAAAAAATAATGAGGTCACGTGATATAAAAAAAAGTGTTAGTAAATGAGTTTCCTTTAAATATCTGAGAGTGAATACAAACAAGGAATTTCATTATTAACATGCTCTTTAAGAACACGAAAATAACATAGGTTTGCATTTAGAGGTGCTAGTTAAACCATACTGAGATATTTTGTCTCAAATTCTGAGCATAAATTTGTTTAACATTTCATTCCACAGAGAACAAATGGTTCTTCTGTTCTGTTGACTGAGATGTAAATATTTTTAACGTTCTATGATATGCTTTCCTAATATTGATGATACTTTGACTTACCTGATGTGATTTCAGCCCTCTCACTGAAGACGGACACTCACTACAACAAACCTATTTATATCGTAACCTAACTGGCAGTGTATATATAGATACTTATGTAATACATACTGTTTGGATTTGCATAATAATGTATTTTCCGTGTATAGATTGAATCACTACAAAAAACAATGATGATTCGGAAAAAATACCGCTTCTATTGACAAATATTGAATTTAGTGCGATAAATTATGTCCTTTTACTTGAAACAAAGAGTCTTTCATCTTTATTCTTACGAGACCTATATCGAGAATTTCATATTGTTTAAATTATGAGTCAGCAGTTATATCAAAAGAGCTGTAGGGAAAAACTTATCATTTCAAAAAAACTTACTTTAAGTATTAAATACTCTTAAATATATTCCAATTCAGAAAGAAAACATTATTTTCTTCGTATTCAAGTAATGCTTTGGAGAAAAGGAAAGATTACTAAACCTTTTTGTAAAACAGACTGAGGCATACTTGTAAATAAACTACTGACTGAATATGTTATGTTGTGTAGATATTAGCAGGATATAGCATAAACATGATAAAGATTCATTATATATATATTGTTAAAATATTTGACAATTCTTACACAATTTACTCAGTAAAAAAGTTTAGACAAAATGTCCAAATTTAGAACTTTAAATGTGTCCTTAACCCGTTGTTATTGTTCCAGACTAACAGGGGATTCCAACTTCTATTTAGAACAAACTGAAAGAGTCAATACTAGTATCGTGTTACAATCATGCATAGACGGACGCAGAGTTGATACCGTGTACCTGATACACACCAGCGATCTAAACCATATACACCGTGTAGGATACTATTATGTCTGAAACTTTTGATGACCTAATATCGAACGGTGACGGTAAAAAGGAATGAGTTCTGTAGACGATATACATATATACGGCTGTATATTGTGATGAACCACTGGAAAATCCTCAAAACAGTTCTACATACAAAATATACAATAGATAACCAAAACACGAGACAGTCCGAAAATGTTCACTGAATGTTAAGAGGGGAAATGTTAGATTTAATTTTTTTCAATTTTCACCAATGTAATGTGATAACTTTGAAGTTTTTTCAACATTCTTAGTTTAAAACGATAAAAATGTGATGTTTAAATATAAATCAAATTTTTACTGCAGTCAGTAAATGTAATGAGATCAGAACTATTCACAATATTTAAGAACAAAACGTGATTATAACAAAATTAAAACCAATCGATACATATAACGCATTTGATAATATTTGGACTCTACACACAGTATAATAACGGGATAGAGAAAATAATTTCTTCCACCTTTTACCGAAGCCGACCTGAAGCTTGTACGTAAATACCATTTACCGTATGTGACGATCTTTTCTCCAGCTGAAGCAGACAGCGGTAGTGAATAGAAAAAATGGATGTTCGGTTTTCCAGATATAATAATGCAGTTATTGTTGGCAGGACAAAAGCCTTTGAAGTAAGTGGCTAGTCGTATCTGATGTCCTTTTAATATTTAACAAGATGTGACCAAATATATGAAAGGATGAGGTAAAGAGTCAGATAAGGAAAGAGGACCTTTCCCATTAACCCACATTGCATATCGGATCCTGCCTTGAACAAAAAATATATATAGTTGTATAGCACGCACATAACGGATCGTCCATCCACCCACTGGCGTAGGCAAGGTCGGGGGAAGGGGGGTGCGGGTCCCAGTTTTCAGTTTTCTGCATCTGTATTTTTCATATCTATATTTCAGTGATTTTATCGATTCTACTTGCATTCTGTCGAAACTAACACCACACAAAGTACACTCAGCTCAGGTAAAAGAATAAGATTTTTTCTTGGTTTTATTTCGTTGTTTGAAGTGACACAAATCTCAAGCAGTTTGAACAACTCTTATCCTATATACTAATCTGTAGTTCTAAATCGTAAAATTACAAATCAAACTTTTTTTTCTGTTTATATAAATTTTTAAAAATGTTTATTATTTCAGAATGAGTAATTTCCTGTATGCTCTTACTTCGGAGCTTCTTCCACAGGGAGAGAAAGGATGGAAAGACTGAAGAAGACTAATAGGAACTTTCCCTAGCTTGAGAGTAGGACAGAGAAATCTCTACCCGAGACGGAGATTCACGGCAGACAGGATCTTAAACTGTCAATATCAATCAGTCACGTCTCTCACATAATCTGCAACGTCTCTCACACAATCTGCAACGTCTCTCACACAATCTGCAACGTTTCTCACACAATCTGCAACGTCTCTCACACTATCAGTAACGTCTCTCACAATATCAGTCACGTCTCTCACACAATCAGTCACGTCTCTCACACTATCAGTCATGTCTCTCGCAGTATCAGTAACGTTCTCACACAATCTGTCACGTCTCTCACACTATTAGTTACGTCTCTCACACAATCAGTCACGTCTCTCACACAATCAGTCACGTCTCTCACACTATCAGTCACGTCTCTCACACAATCAGTCACGTCTCTCACACAATCAGTCACGTCTCTCACACAATCAGTCACGTCTCTCACACTATCAGTCATGTCTCTCGCACTATCAGTAACGTTCTCACACAATCTGTCACGTCTCTCACACTATTAGTTACGTCTCTCACACAATCTGTCACGTCTCTCACACTGTTAGTTACGTCTCTCACACAATCAGTAACGTCTCTCACACAATCAGTAACGTTTCTCACACAATCTGTCACGTCTCTCACACAATCAGTCACGTCTCTCTCACAATCAGTCACGTCTCTCACATCAGCAGTAACGTCTCTCACACAATCAGTCACGTCTCTCACACTATCAGTCATGTCTCTCGCACTATCAGTAAAGTTCTCACACAATCTGCCACGTCTCTCACACTGTTAGTTACGTCTCTCACACAATCAGTAACGTCTCTCACACAATCAGTAACGTTTCTCACACAATCTGTCACGTCTCATACACAATCAGTCACGTCTCTCACACAATCAGTCACGTCTCTCACACTATCAGTCATGTCTCTCGCACTATCAGTAACGTTCTCACACAATCTGTCACGTCTCTCACACTATTAGTTACGTCTCTCACACAATCTGTCACGTCTCTCACACTGTTAGTTACGTCTCTCACACAATCAGTAACGTCTCTCACACAATCAGTAACGTTTCTCACACAATCTGTCACGTCTCTCACACAATCAGTCACGTCTCTCACACAATCAGTCACGTCTCTCACATCAGCAGTAACGTCTCTCACACAATCAGTCACGTCTCTCACACTATCAGTCATGTCTCTCGCACTATCAGTAACGTTCTCACACAATCTGTCACGTCTCTCACACTGTTAGTTACGTCTCTCACACAAT